CCAAGTTGTGTGATGTTGTGGACACGCTGGAGGGAAGGCATGTCATCCAGAGGGACCTTGACAGGCTGGAAAGGTGGGCCTGTGAGAACCCCATGAAGTTCAACAAGGCCAAGTGCAAGGTCCTGCACATGGGTGTGAAGCTTCTTCCTAAGGACAATCAGTTATTTTTTGTAAATTATGTCTTCAATCTTATCTCTTTTACTGTAATTCATAAGGTAAAAAAAAAACTGTAGTAAGAGCTAATTCAGTAATCTATCTTATTAGCTGTAAAGGAACAGTTACTACACCTTCATAGAAGATGTTACAAGGAAATATTTTCAAAATTTTCCTTATGAGAGAAGGTACATAATTCCTTATGTTTCTTTATCACAAAATACGTATACTATACTACTGTTTTTAAATGGCTTTCAGGCAGAAAAATAAGTGTATACACATTCCTGAAGTCTACATCCTATTTATCCACCACTAAATGTGGTGGATTCCTACAGTTCATTATAAATCAGCATTTACAAAATTCCACGTTTAGCTGGCATTTAAAAGTGCAGTGAAAATGTGCATATCAGAAGAGCTAATTTTAGCTAGTAAGGAATTAAAGTGAGGAGACCTAGAGCTATTAACAGGATGCTGACCTTGAGTCTCATGATGTAAGCAAGGGGCTGGGAAGTAAGCTAGGTCGAAGTGTGGCAAAATGAGAATATGCTCAATAGTTTCAGGGGAGTGTATCACTGTACTCGTTCAGAGCTACAAACATAAACCCAGGTTAGTGATGGGATTATCTTTGCTGTTTTTCCAACTCAGTATGTAGCTACACATGAAATGCATTTACTACTGAAAGGATTTTTTTGTAAATTTTTCATGCCTCTTATAGTAGAGAGGTAAATAAGAGAAATCAACTCTAATCTACCAAAAGAGAGATGTTTTTTGGACCAAATTTTAAGGCCTGAATACAGCCCTTACTGTAATGAATATTGACTTCAATGGAAAAGCTCCTGTGAGTCTTTGCAAAATTGGATTTTTCCCTTCATATATTTTTCAACTACATTAATGCAAATGACTTTTAGTGATGCTCTTTTTACCAGTTAGGTTGATTTTTGTTTAGATTATGCAGAGACATAGCTTCATACTGAAGCAAAGCAAATAATATTAATTGTTTCAGATTTATAGACTTATTGCACACATATATGATCAGATTTAAAGTTTAAAAAAATAAAAAGGAGCGTTGGAAAAAGAAAGACAATTAAAACTAGTAACCTATTGTTCTAATACTTTAGAAATTTATTCTGATGCTCAGATGTACTGAACTTTATCCCAGGAAGTATGCCTTGATTCAGCACGGGGAAGGAAAACAATCTGTTGTTTCTGCGGCAGCCTTACTGATCACTAATTCATCTTGACAGGATGGTTACAAATATCCAAAATACAAAGCTGACATAGCTTTAAATAATACTGTGACATTTGAAATCCCTCTGAAATCAGCAGCAAACCAGAGCCAAGATTTTACCTCTGATTATCTCATTATTATATGATAGCTTTACCAATGTCTCAGCCTTTTCTTCTGTCATGTGTGATATTTCCACACATAATTCTTCAAAGGATCAACTATGTTTTAATTACGTTCCTTTTAAAACATAAATATGCATGCACAATTGTAATTTTTTTTGCAGCTATCAGTAAAATATAACAGGATACTCCCTGTGGTTTTAAATTACCTTCAGCGTCTCTCCAGTTCTTTCTGACGTCAAGTATCTTTTTCTTTTTCTATTTGTGTTTCTAAAACTAGATTTAGGCCAAAGAAAACATGCACAGATTGTAACTGAGCTTGTTTCAAAAGTCAAGTTTCCAGCTAGATCATGGTAATATAATGTATTAGGGGAAAAGGAAAACTGCAATTCTATTTGAACTAGATTTTAGTCAGTTCTTCACTGGAGGCTGAAAATGAGACATGTTAAGGTTTAGAACTAGAGATGTGAAGGCAGTTCAGTCCCAAAGTTTCAAAACTGATTCCTTCTGCCAGCTTTCAACACAAATTATTTCAGCATAATAAAAGCAGATTTTATTTAACTTAAGTGTTTGGCAACAGGCAGCTCTAATCATTCACCATACTTAAACCATCCTGCCTTATTTATCTTATTTTGGCATGCCTGTATTCAGTGTTCCAGTTTCTGTATGTCTACGTTTGTAAGTGTGAGACAATACTAATTAGCTTAAACAGTAATGATTGATTTTCAGTGAGTCTACTTTGGAGTTGCTCTCAGACTGACATCCTTGCCAAATTCCCCTGTTGCTTCCACATAGCCTAGTTTTCCCTGTATTTTCATTTTTCAGCAGTTTTTTTGTTAATCACATACTCTGCTGAAAACCAACGCTCAAGGACAAATCTTTCTGATTTGTCCTGCTGCTGCTAAACAAGCCTCACAGTCATCAGAAAAAAGAGCACTCTAAGATGTTTGAGTCACTCAAAACTGTTAAGCTGCTGTTTTTCATGCTGACCAGTAGAATACTAAGCTGAACAGAACACCTTACACCACCCTCAGTCTTTGCTATTTTCCTATGAACTTTTGCTTTTGCAATCCCTTTGATACATTTTGCGAATTTCATCTTAAAATATGATGGTTTTCCTCATTATATAGATTGTTCCTGATCCTAGCTGATCCAGTGATTCTAGTTTCCAGCATATTTGTCTCCTGCTTATGTCCAGTTATTCCTGTCAGCTTGTATAATCTTGCATCATTCTTCTCCAGGCTTTATTTTCCAGGAAAATATTTCCTGTCAGCTTCATTTCACAAGGCTCATTTCTCTGAAACACTCCTGTAATCTCTTCCTCCAAGGCAACTTTTTTAATCTCTGCTCTCCACTCCCTCTTCAGATTAAATCCATCTTTCTCACCCTAAGATAAGATGAGGTACCATGATTGCCTTATGCATTGACTGAGGCTCCTACATTTCACATACAGATAGTAAAAGCCCAATTAAAAAAAAAAAATTCCTAATCTTCATGCTTTCTATTTCTCTCATTAGTAACATTTCCTTCCTGTCCAGTTATTTTATGGTGTTTTGGGGTTTTACATAGATTCTATCCTATGTCAAAACCTTTAGGCATCAAGCTTTTTGCAACTGTTTTTCTAGTTTTCACTGATCTCACCACAGTTTCATGTAGAAAACACTGTTCCTAATAAACTGTTATCCAAGCAGTTTTTTCACCGTATCACAGTCCTAATCTTTCATCTTTCACATAAAAATTTGGCTGTACATTTTAAAAATACCAGAAAGATCTCCCCGGAAGTAAGGTAAACTGCACCTTGCACGTCAGTTGAAACATGTCATTCGTATGAACACAAAGAAAGCAACCGTAGTGACTTGAGCACGAGTGTTTCACAACTTGTCATTTAAAAGCCATTTCTTCAACAGCATAACAGAGATCTGAGCCTCTTACAGCTGTTTTGCAGGTTGGTACATCTGTGAAGCCTGATCGGTGTGGCTCACACAGGCATGCAAATGTGACAGGAGTTACTGTGCTTATGGCACTGGGTTGGTTATTTTGACTAATCTTTTCAAAACAGGGAGCATTCAAAGCTGTTCCTGTTTTGAGGTGCTATGCACATAACATAGCTTGCTTACATATGTGTTGCATTTTCAGGTCAAAATTTTTCAGATCAAAATCTCTGCTTATTTCCTTGGCTTTTTACCTCAAGAATGAATATTTTCAAGCAGGATGGGAAAATAAATTCAGTATGATTACTGCCTTTGATGGCAATTATTCAAGCAAAACAGTACTGTAAAAATAACTTCTAATAATCCGAGTTCAATAAAATATTTCATCGTATGTCCATTATTGTCTAGAAGAGTATTTTATAAAGGTTTCAGAATGTCTTCAACCAAGGTGATTCCATAAATAATGCTTGCACAGTGGTTTCTAAGGTGTCTTGTGTCTCCTTTGTGACGTAAACTGGTTGTTATGGAGATGGTAAAATATCAACCATTCTTTGTGAGACTGTGCAAGATCAATTTTAGATCCGTTACAGCAGCTTCTTTTCTCTGCTCAGCTATAATCAGCCTTCCTTAGCAACAGAAATATATGTATAAAAAGTATGAAATGTTTTAAAACAAATGTTTGCATGATAATTTTAACTGTATGATATACAGAAATAGACCTGTGTGCTTTTGTAACAGATGCAAATTCCATCCCCAATTCTCTAAAATTCAAATAAGTCTCATGGCCTTCAAGAGAAATAAGGCTACTACTGTTATAAAGGTTATAACAACTTATAAATAAACAGACCACTCCTTTTTCATTCCCTATTTTTAAATTTCATAATTGATACCTTACAAAACTATCTGTTGTTTTCTAAAGTAGGGAGGGCAAAGATTAACATCTTTCGTGCCAAATTTAAGGAACGTGCATAAAGGACTTTTGTTCAATAGTGTGTTGAAAATTCCTAGAGCTTCATGAAATAGAAAAAAAAGGGTTATGTCTGGGAAGTAGTACACAAAAATATGGTCTAAAATACTGAGCTAGCCCACATGTAGATTATTTTTCTCCATTTTTCATCTATGCTAGTCCATGTGTCTAAGTACGTAGGTCCTGAGTCAGTGATTAAGGGTAAAAAACAGACAGGTGAGTCAGGGTTTTGCAGAGTCCAAGAATGTGGGAATTCCTCCTTCTCCTCTCAATCTGTACTTGGAGGCACGGACAAGCACACCAAAACATACAGTATTTGATTGGAAAGTCATAACATTTTCAAGGAGACCCTCAGTTATTTGCAGATTATCTGTACTTTTATGAAAACATTACAGAGGAGAAGATAAGATTATTAGAAATCCATTTTGTATGTTCTAATAGTACATCCATTTTACTGAACAGGGGCCTAGATGGAGAGTAAAGCAGAAACACAGCCATAGGGGAGGGAAGAAAAGACACCCTTTTTCTTCCACTATGCGTAAGTGGCTACAGAGCGTGTGTTGCAATGAATGGAGACAACCCAGATAGGAACGTTTGCCTACCTCAGGTGCCATCCAGAAGGGTGTTCCCACTGAGGTATTTCTACGCAGACGTGTGCTGGTGAGCTGGGCTGAAACACCTGCAATAAAACATATCCAAAAAACTTGGCTTTAAATTCATTCTGTCCTTTCAGTTAGTTTATTTCAAGTATCTGGAAAACAAACCCAAGCCTAGGAGTACAGCTGCAAAACACCTGGCCAAAGTAGGTGCAGCATTTGTACTGAATTCTTTGTTTGATTCATTTCAGCTTCCTGTTTTCTTTCAGAATTGCTGAGAGATTTTTTGTGAATGACTCTCAGTTTGAAGCACTTTCATTCAAACTCAAAAATTCAGCTGGCACTTAAATATCACAGACTTGTTGCTGCTGTTTTCATGAGTATAAACAGGAACTATTCAAATTACAACTTGACTTTAAAATTTCTATTTCCAAAATTTACTCCTTGAACACTGCTGGCAGGAAACTTGTTCACTTAGAGTATTTGCA